TACTTTGAACATTGTCATATCGTCATCATCATCATCATCATCAGAGTTCAAACAGATTTATTTTTTTGTGAACGTTGTAGACTTTGTCAATGAAAACATAAGCTTAAACTAAATTTTAGTACAATGGATTCGTGTATATATAATCTGTTCTGCTGAATGATTGCTTCAATATAACCTACATGGTGATAATTGATTTGACTGATACATTATCAAATAAATGCCTTGTTACATTCCTACTACACTTCGGATGTTGTAATATGCGTTTTCTTTTTCTCAATACAATTGTACAGTCATACATTCATAAATAAATATTTTAGTTGCGCAACTCTGTGAATTCATCAAGTTATACATAGCACTATCAGATACCGGCTCAATGGTTCAGACGTTAAGCGTTCACGTACAAGATCGAAATTCTTGGGTTCGAATCCTGCGGGGTGAAGGAGTGGTGGATGAGCATTGCTGATGAGTCCCATACCAGGACGAGACAGCTGTATTTCAGTGTTTCCAGGTTTCTAATTGTTGTTGAGCATTGATCAATTCATGGTTTCGAAAAATGTCTAACTTAACTATTGTCACAACCCTGTAATGAAATATTTTTTCGCTGCCTAGATAAACTTCGTTGTTGTTGTTAATGTTGTTAATTTCTTTTATCACTCAATTAAATTTTAATGATAATGGACACATTGTCGGTATGCATGTGTGTGTTTGTGTGTATGTATGTATGTATGCAAGTGTGTGACTTTTATAGTTTTTCACAATGACAACAAAAATATCCATCATTTCTATCAGTAAATATGTCCATTGTGTTAACTGATTGTTTCATTTCAGTCTGTCATCATGATTTATTGTTGTTACTGTTCTCTCCTTATGAATGTGAATGCTTGAATGAAAAGAAGTGAAAAAGCCTAACTGGGGGGGGGGGCAATCAATGTACGTGTAACTCTAGTTGTTATCACTATGCCAGTCTATTTATATGTGATGATAACGAAGCCAGTTAGTTGTATAACATAAGATTTCATAAACATGGGACATATGTTCAGTGTTCATGTTTTTTTTAACTAGTCAAGTGGTAATTTGATCGTTGGCATATAGTCATGAACAAATTTCTTAAGTAAACTCTTCTATAGAATGTAGAGGAATTGTTTTTAAATGGCGAGTTTGTTGATTTGATAGTTTATATATCATGAATTCATCTTCTTAGGTTAAACAAATCCACAAGAAGTAATTGGATGAATATATCATCTTTGTATAGAACTCTTTAGAATGAGACATTCATGCGCAAGTATGCAACTGAGTATTTTATTTAATGAAAGCATTTTAGTCTATTGATATTGTCAATTGTAGACAGGTGTTGAGTTATTGATGAGATGATTTCAAGTGTAGCATGTCCTTTATGATGGTGCTCACATTAGTGGTTATACGACCTGCATAGACTATACTCTGTTTTGATTTTGTCTGTTGTAGTGGACAATGGACGTTTGCAGCTTGTCACTTATATCATTTAGCACTTTTAAACATGTAAGCTTCACTGTACCTGTCTACCTACGTACATACTCGCCTACTTAACTACCTAGTTGTATTGCTGACATGCACACGGAATCACAATAAACTGGATATTCTCAATGTTGATGTATTAACGAAATTCTATTCCTTTACACATTCACTGTATTGCATGTTGTTTGTCTGGCTCCTGTTATTTGCGTGCATCGAATATACATTCATTAAATATAACATGTATTCCATTCAATGCAGTAAAATAATTCATTTGCAGTATGAACTGATCAATAATACTAGACCATCACCATCAGAAACCTGGAAGCATGGAACTGCCTTTACAGCTTTACCATATCACTGACAATTAGTGCTCGTTCATAACTTCGTGTTCAGCAGTCGGATCTACGAATTTCGGTCTCGCTCGCGAACATCTAATCTTTCGACCTCTGAGTCGTTGTTCAGCGATGCTACTATCAAACTTGAATGAATCCACCCCTTTTTGTGACTGTTATCGCTTGTCTTCATAAAAATGACTGTTTCACACTCGATATAATTCAACTCCACTGGTCACAACAACACTTCACTAATACACAGAGAATTTCTTCATGGATCCAAGTCACTAGTGAGTACATGATAATTGTCAGCATATATATTGACCATTTTTAAATTTTTAGTTGCTGATTAGATGAATAAATCAGATATTTCTATTCAATGTATTCAGATTTAGTTTTTGATTGGTCTTCATTACATGAAATAAAAACTTCGGTTGAGGTCATATATTCTCTTTTAAAATGAGCTGTCATTTTTTGTTCACTTATAACAGGTAGTAAATGAACCAATGATTTTTTCTTTGATTACTGGAAGTATTTATCAAAATTCATTCTTGAATATGAAAATTGAGATAATAAAGGCACTGTAATGTAATATTTGCATATTTGTTGAACAGTTTAGCAATTATCTGTCAACAGTGGTGTAGTTATATGATATACTATCGGTAGGGTTAGTCGTGGAGATAAGGGATACGTTAGGATATGTAAGAAGGATTCGATTTTGACCAGTTCGGTCTCGTGAGCTTTAAACAGGTATTAGGGTGGATGTCACTTCCCAGCTGCCCACACCGTCGAAAGATTTTTATCGGGGGACCTGAAAAAAAAGTCGTGTTACTGTTGGTCGTAGAGACCTGGGAGCGTGACCGCAGAGCCCAATCGACAACTGCTTCAGGCCGGTCACGCATGACCTTTTGAGGAAAGGTTTTTTGAGTATTAGCTCCTCTATTTTTCAAGCCCCTATTGAGCAGCCTTTACCGCCGGAGACGGAAATCCGTGAGGTAAGGTGAGGTGTGACATTCTTTAGGGTCGACCTTTTCTAACCCTTCCTTCCTTGTGAGAAAACAGCACCACTGCAGATGCCGGTTGTCCGAGGGAAACACCTTACTGCTGTCACACTTCTCTGCAGTCAGCAGTACGACTTCGTCCTCAGACCTTGAGTAACTGCTTTTATTTTCACCGTTCTCCAATCGACCTGCCTAGCATGGTAGAACCTTCAGGAACATATGTTCCAGCCAATATAGCTCGGCTGGGTCATCACGATAGGCAAGCCCGACCACCACATCAAGGTAACAGCTACGGTGGGGTGCTATATGAATTTCTCTTTTACACAGAACTCGTTTCTAAATACAATCACTTTCGAACAAAACTGAAATCGATGTGAATCAGAGCTTTAAATTTCAAAAGTGACTGAATAACAGCACACTAGGTAAATAGGAAATGATGATCTAATCGGTGATTTTGCATCAGATGATCAGAGAAAATAAGGCTAGTGAATCAATGGTTTTTAGTTCCTCATTTTATACTGCTGATCGACAGAGTGTAAGTGAAACTCTCATATAACTATGCTGTATTAGGCATTTGAGATCATTGTTGAAGAAATTTGTCATTGATAAATCCAATAAGCTTTAGATAAATATAGTATAAATTACTTGGAATAAATTGATGGAATCTAGTAACCTCAACTCATTACTCCTTCGTTTTAGGTTCCGAACACTATGAGAATTGAAGATAACTTGGACTTTGATTGACGGAAAGTCAACGTAGTGATCGTCAGTAGTGGTGAGCAGTTAAGTGAAAATGAGGAGAAGAGTGTTTGTGAAAGTAAACAACTTTTCAGACATCAAGGAATGAGGTACTGAACATCCGGGAGTCAGTGAGACTATTTCTGAATAAGATAGTAAAATGATCCAATCTCAGTTAAGGAGACTGGAACAATGAGCGAAATACTTAGGAGAATAATATGACTGTTAGCTAATTACACTTCATTCAGTAACTATTATGAATTCGTATGAGTGGTTTTTCGACATTAATCCTCCGACTATTAAGAAAGTGGAAAATGACATAACAAAACTAAAGTGAAACGTGATTAGTGTGACCCGATGTTTTCACTTTTCGCATGTTTAAATTTGATGATCTAGTCATAGCTGTTAGATTGACTGACATTCTAGGTGAAGTCTAGTGACTTAACTTAATCCTATTTAACTGGTCTTAATTGATGAGCAGCTCAATCTATAAGAATGGGCAGAAATCCTATTAGTAGGATTACCACAAGAGGATGATTCTGACCGAAAGTATCTGAAATATTAGCCTTTTTAATGTTAGGCTCGTCTCTAAGTATGCTTAAACAATTACGAGTTCACCTTAGTTGAATAACAAGAACAAAATAATGAACCAGCGTCCGAGGTTAGCTACTGTGATCCCTTGACCAAACTGTACCAGCAGGAAGTCTTGATATAGCGATGAAAATGTATTCTACAAAAACCCAGCCAGCATACAATGAATCTGAGCCCTCAGATCGCGTTTATTTATACTCTATAGAGACGTCCTTGCGACAGTCACAAAAATAGCACACTAAAGTGACACGTTGGCCAATCACAGCCAAGGATTGTCCTGTTGAGAAACGTGATCTCAAGGTCAACTGATAGATCTATGAAATAAATCAAAAATAAAGATATCTATCAAGCTAGTTATGGGGATCTAACATACCCAACCGTGACGAGCAAACTCGAGAAAACTAGGCTCGTCTCAGACCTGGTTGAGAATGTGTAGACTGTAGTGGTAAATAAATACCCAAACTAAATATACTTTTGTAGGCCTTCGACATTGAGATTTACCCCGTTAGTTTAAGCAGAAACGTCCTAGCTTAAGACTCTCGGTTACAGTTGTATTTCCCGACCTCAGAGAAGCATTGTAATGCGTAGATTGGTAAGTTTTATGGAAATTTCGGTAACTAAGAAGGGAAACGAATTAAGTGTATTAACCTTGTACAGGCTCTTTAGTCGGATACCACTGATAGAGTGTGAGTTTATGGAGGACTATCATGAGGATCGATAACTGAAATCGCTATTAATTATAGTTTTCCGCTTTCCCTGTTTTAATTTAAGTCTGTCGTAGACATGTTGGTGGATATAAAATCCTCACTATCTGACTTATAAGGAATTGATATACCAAAAGATTCTCATATTCGTTTAGAATATGCAGATGACGTAGTCCTGTTCGCTTTATTCTTCCTCAAGGATGTGAATCAGGCTCATTAAGAATAGATTATATTGATCGATCACTCGTATTCGATTACAGGTTCCTTGGCATCATCCCTCTCATTGATTGGAATTGAGTATGTAATTTCAATGAAAAATCCAGGGTGCTTGTTAGGTATGGCAAATCCATTGACGAGGTAATTAATCTAAATCAAATGAGATAGTTAGGACCTAGGTTACGTGTGTTCATCAACAGACTATCTGGACGTGCACTGATG